AATGGCTTTACAGATTTACTGCCTAATAAAAGGAAGGGAAAAGTTTGGAAAATATAAAGAAACTGTACATTATCTTTTTTTAATGAAGGTGAGACTTGAAATTTTAGTTACATCATATTATTGTACTATACATATTTGTTATTTCCAGGTTGTATTCTCACTGCACATCCAGTTACACCTGCATTATTAAAACTCCACTAACAGACCAGCTGCCAATTTAACTGCTTTGGTATCTGATCTTGCTCAAAGAAAATATGATTATTTGAACACTACTATAAGTTAACACTAGCATTTTAATAAATGGAATTGTAATGCAGCAATGAAATCATGGGAAGCTATCAAGAAAAAGGTGATTAAGTCCTTTGTATTAAATTGAGCATATTTTATTTTGAGAAAAATCTGTGGCTTTGTTAAACTCACCACCACCACACACACACACACACAACCCCTGCTGCCCTTTTAATTAATCCTGTGGGACAAATTTAGTTTTTATTTTAATCTTAAATTGCTCTTTTAATTAATTGGCAATTTCCTCAGCATACCATACTGTCTGCTGAAGTGATGTTATTGAGTACCCCAAATGTTTTTCACGCAACAGAAAGAAAAAAAAAAGAGGAATATATATAAGAAATAACACCCCTCCGTGGGAAGCAGGGGGAAAAAAAAAAATCACTGATTGTAACAGGACTGGGGAGAGATTAAGAGACCATCAGTGCTTCATAAATAGATTTTAATACAAAAAAGCTGACATGTGGCAACACAGCTTCTATATTGTAATATCATGACTTGGTAACATCATGACTCTCTTGATTTGCACAGTTCGTGGAGAAGCATGTTGCAGGGATTAAATCCCTTTGAATGTTAATGTGTTCCTCTTTTGAACCACAAAGAATATTAATCCTCCTCCCCTCATCTACCAACAGCTGCACTGTTTTTTCCTACTTGACAGAGTGGAACCAGATAGCATGGCATGATTGACCTGAATGTAAATATTGCTATTTGTTTTTGAACTGCTTACTTTTTGCAGAAATTTAACAAACCTGGCATCACTTTATCTGCAGCACAAATAAGACTAAGTGTTCAGGCACCTAGAAATCTCTTTCTAAACCATTAGATCAGAAGAACTGTAAAAATAATTTATTACTTTATTAATAAATTAACACACTTTACAATCCCCTCAAACATTTACAGTGACTAGTACAGGAAGTCGGATTGGAATGTTCCCAGAGAAAGGGCATGCATGTGTGTACACAAACACACATGCATATATAAATATATATATTATGGAAAAGTAAGGGTTAAAGCAAACAGCTACAGTTCAGTTTAGGCATGATTCCAGCCTATATGTCTAGAGTCATACATAAAATCTTCACAAATTAATCTTTACAAATTATTCTCAACCCTACGCATAACTCTCATTCAACTACTTCATACAGTTTGCGAAAGGACTCCAGTTTCAACAAAAGCTAGATAACATAAGACAAGAATATGCAGGCTGACCATAAAACAAATCCACTAAATTTCCATTATCAAAACAAATATTTTCACACATTTGAAGAGTCCCAAGTCAGATCAACTGCCAGAGTGCTTTTCATTCAGATTTAAATGTACAACTGACTGATAAGCCAATACAAAACCTGGTCTCCATATGTAATCCATTAGAGTCCCAAACTTCAAAGCCAGGAAACAAATCCCATTATATTTACTGTTCTGAATTTTCACAGACATTTTACAATCATTTTCACATTTTGGCTGTCTCTATTCTTTGAAATATTTAGAAATAACCAACACTGCAGAAGCAGATTATATATAAGTTAATAAGAAACCAGCATGGTTTATGTTCAGAGAAGACATTATGTTGATTAATTAATGGAAGTTTCTAATCCATTAAAAAAATCCTCAAAAGACCATCATCTTTCTGACACTATACTACAATATTGAAGCCTTTGGCATAAATTATTATTTACAATTAATGTGTACTGTGCTGATGCACTTTACAAAAATCACGGTACTATTGAGAATGCCTAACAATGTTACGTTTCATTTATTTCTGTAGTTCAAAAGCAGCCCAACCTGTTAGATAGTGTACAGGCTTAAAGTGATAACACAGAAAAGAGCACATATTTTCATATAAACTACAAATGTCAGTATCATACATGACGTGGTCAATAACTTAACATGACAATCACAGTGCACTTTTAGAATAAAGACGCTTAACAAAAATCTACTATCTCATATTTATAATATGAGCTATAATCAAGGACTAAGAGTTATTAATATACTTTAAAAATAATCACAAAGCTATTTTAAACAGGAATATGACTGCATTTAGGATTCTGTTTGTTTAAAAACATAGTTATGCATATGTATTCTTTTCAATTCATCTTGGATACTGTAGAGAGAAAACTCTTGATTACCTTGCATTTTGCACTGAGGTATCGTTACACCCAAGAACATAAGGGTAACAGTCTACTACATGCATGAAGGCTCTTACTCCAGGGTTCAAACAAGGTAATTCGAGGTAGTTTCAGTGTGCAGGGGTGGATTTATAATCTGAGATAGAAATCTGCATGAAGACATTTATGTAGCATTTGCCATGTAGCACCTTGCTAGCTGTCTGTCCATAAAAAAACCAAGCACATCGCACAGAAAATAGGTAATTATGTAAATAGAGATGTGGTAAGAGAAGTGTAATCCAGGGAAAGAAAAGCATGAAAGCCATGAAAGATGTCTTTCTAAATGAATTCAGAAGTGTTTAAATATCATGCCTGGGTAGAAGAGAGATTTTCAGATGATATGAAAGTTTAAGTCAGAAAATGTAGCATGTAGTTCTACTACAATAAACAGTTTTACTACTGAAAACATATTTAATTCTTTATGGCTGACAAAGGTGAACCACATCCTAAGCCCTTGCTTTCTAGTGATTAAAATACATCAAATAGAAAAGAATGGTGAGTTTGTGAAACAGTGTTGGTAAGATCATATGGAAGCGCTTTGTCCAAAGAGTCTGGAGTAAGGAAAAAATGAACTAGACTTCATTCTAGCTCTGTGTGGCTCAGAGTACTGGATCTGATCTCTATTGACGCTAATCACACATTCTCTAGTCTGGTAAATTGGAATTAAAAGTGAATATAGATGAAATGAATATCCACCTTACTGCATTTCACACAAGTCTGGCAATTCAGAAACGATGTTAAGACAAATAATCGTCTAAGCACTACGTAGAAATGAAAAATCATGTTGTTTATTTAGCTATTCTTCTTACAGAAGCAGAGACAGACTTCGATGTACTCTCAATTCAAGGAAAAAGGGGGTGGAAAGGTGATAAGAGGAAGAAAAGTGCTTCACATAGCTTAACACTGACCCATTCAAGCAGTTAAGGAGCAGCTTGGAACAGCTCCAAAGGCTAAAGCAGCTCCCTTTCCAGTTTTGCTTGGCCAGATGGAAGATGACCACGTTTCAGGGTTTTAAGCAGTGTTTAGGCTTGGAATATCTGATGTGTTACTCCATTTTTAGCTTTAAAAAAACCCCAAAACCTCATTCGCTTATTTCAGGTAGCATTTGATTAAAATGTGGGGATAACAGGATGTACCATACTGAGGAGGTTGGGGGCAGAGGGGGGAAAGACCCTAAACAAAAAGGGGAAAAAGAATAAAACGGAAGAACTCTCAGAATCTGGTTGATGTAGTACCATCATCCTGCCCTCCATGGGAACCCTTCCCCTTCACCCCCCAACTTATGTAGAGCTTTTATATAGCTGAATGTAATGATTCCATCTCCTTATAAATGTTAATTCAAAATATGGAAGTATACTAGGTTTTTTCAGATTAAATTCTAGCTGTTTCTCTGTGTCAATGCTTCTGTTTATTATCTCTTAATCTAATGAATTTTTCACTATATCATCTTATTTATCTGTTAGTCTTTAAACTTCAGTATTACTTATGCACCTTACAATACTAACAAGACTACACAGCCTTTTCACGGACACCAAGGGAAATTCTGTCTCTGATCCAGGTACATATTACTCAAAACACGCTATTATTGCTTTCTAGTAGTTAAGGCTAATGCCACCCTATGAATTAATATGATGGAAATACAATAGATGCTTTCTTTAAATTTAAGTGATAGAATCCTATGCTGTCTTTGTTGAAGATCTCTGGTTCAGTCACCCTTTGTAGTCTTTTCTGCCACAGATCTGCAACAGATCTTTTTAAAAATAAATACTAATAGTTGTAAATCAATGTACTGTGAAAAGGATTCTTTTAAAACTCAGAGAAGTGCAGAACAGTAAAGGGGCACTGGAGGACAAGAACACAATGGTTAAAAAACTACTAAAGAAATTAATTTGCCTTGTCTTTACTAACCAGGGTCACCAACAGAAGCTATAATACAATAAAATAGCATACACTGTTCATAGGAGACATTGCTTTATCCTCAAGGGAATTTCTTTTGCAGTTGTCCTCTGAGTTTAATCTTACTGCCGTGGCATCTCTTATTCTTTTTACTAGCTCAGAACCAGGGTAGAATTTAATAAGCTATCAATGGAAATAATTAAAAGTAGACTGTAAACTGAAAATATGCACTACTAAAAGGAACACCGAAATACACAACTTGGGTTTTTTTCACACTTTACAGTATTGTTAGATTTTAAGTCATACCATCTGTTTAGTGAAATAATGCTCAATGAAATACCAGTTGTAAGCAGGAAGTCAGAAGCAATTTACAAACTCATCTAAGGTTTCCTTCCAGCCAGAAAAGGACGGAACAGCAGAACAGCTTAAGTTTGTATTGAGAAGACTTAAGATTTTTAAGCCTATAGCCCTTCTAGTTCTATAAGGATTACACATATAAGCTCAAAATTTCCATTCTTACCCCTACCCTTCCTAGATTTCCTTTCTGCTACCAACTTATTTGCTTAGTTCTGATTCAGAAACTCAGACAGCTTTTTTCTCAGGTATAATATTGGAAAATACTTACTAAAGGAGAAGATTTCAACTTACCTGATGAAGATCGTTGCCCAAAACATATTCCTGAAAGTAACCCGGTGCCGCAGATGATGCTCTAATGGCCTGCCACAGTTTGTACTGACAGCCTCCAATATAATGAGACTTAACACCAGGAAAGTGATTGTAGTTTCTAAAAACAAATGCTTTCAGTGGTGTTCCTCTGTTTACAATGGTGCTTACTGCAGCTACCTAGCGAGTTAGGAGGAACAAAAATAGTTATATATGATAATAATAATAATGACAACTTCCCACAATATGAAATTCAATGTATACAATAAATGCATCTCTGGAATCCTACTTGGTTCCTTATTGATTTACTTCTTTATAATGCCTATCTAAATTTTTAAAAGTGAAAGTAAAAAAACAAAAACTCAAAACCAAAAGACAAACTCCCTAAAGAAAATGCTATTTTTAACCTGAAACTAATTGTTTCCACTGGCTATTCTGTTTCTACCAATATCTATCCATCGATATTTAAACAAAAAGCTGGTGTAATCTATATAATTTTAAAATGTTTTGCCTTTATGAATAGTAGTTCGTTCTCAAAAGCCTGTAACCAGCAATGCAACAATGCCATTAAATATGAACATTAGAAACGTCAACCAAATTATTTTTCCAAGAAAATGATTACTTAATATTGCAACCTGAGTTAAAGGATTGCAGTAAGAATCCCAAAGAAAAAAAACCAAAAGAATCAAACAAATCCTTCAAGGTTTTTTTGTAAGGACACTGAAATGTCATTAACAAAAAGTCATATATGCAAATCAAAGTGAAAAGCCAAAAATGGTATTTCCATAAAACAGAATGTATGACTGCAAAAAAAAAATCACATCTTACAGATATAATCACACGAGGTGAGAGTAGCTATAGTTGTGGGTGAGAGTTAGGATGTGCAAGACCTTTCAGTGATGATGCACCCAGTCTGGCTGGCACTGTTGAGAACAATACTCTTCAGCAGACAAGTGGGTGTTCAATTCTATTTTGTTTACTATTTTACAGCGTAGAGTGTTTTTGGGAAACATTACTCAACAGCACTAGCAGCTGATGCTGTGATATCACTGTATTAATTTCCATTTTTCAGCTACATAAGTTAAATCATTTAATTCACAGTAAGTCCTTCCTTACAAAAAACCAACCAACCAAACAAGAAAAGTATAACTTCTATATGACAGTGCAGAAGCAACACACATGCACGATGCGTACTCCCTCATTTGATGGAAGAAAACTTTCCTGTTTTTGTCAAAAGGAAGGTTTGGTTCTAAGCACTACCAGAAGCAGTAAGAAAAAAAACTTGGGAAAATTTAATAGAAAACTTATCAAACTGATGCTTGAATTTATTTTTGTTAATACCCATATACACTTCTACTTCATGATGCAGTCTAAGTTGTAAAGTGCTGAACACCTGGAAAAATCCATCTTGCCATGAATTTAACAGCAGCAGAGCACACAACTGCGTGTTTTATTTTGATTTTGCTGTGCCTTGTAAAGTGTGCCACCACTGTCAGCACTACAAAGCTATTACTGGGAATAGCTAGTTTCAACTCTATTTATATTCACATTTTATTACTGAAGAACATGGAAGGAAGCCAAAGATCCTGGTTCAAAGATAACTTTCAAGTCAATGTAGGATAGCTTCTCTCTCAGAAAGCAACATACCACTCCAGCCTTTTCACGTCCTTGTTTTAGACATGGACTAGGAACGCAGTCAGTCAAGCACATGTTTCTATGTTTAGAAAAATGTGAATATCTTCCATTTAACAGTAAAGCATTGAATATAGTGCTATGACACCAAAACACCTGTTAATTACAGATTGTTCTGAAATGCGCTATTATATTTCTCTTCTTTCTTCACACCCTATCCTTCACCAAAAATAAAATACCCATGCTTTCTCATCTTTCACTCTTGTGCTGCTGCTGTATATAACACCCCTCCAATTAACTGGTGCCCTTCAGATCATACAGGAAGAACAGAGATCTCGGGGCCTACGAATGTGACTGGAGAAAACCTGGTAATCCAGACAAAGTGAGGAAAAACCCTGGTCTCTCACTACACAATCACACAGATCACAGCTGACATGACAGGATCTCCAGATACTAGGATTCTCTTATATGAAAAAAACAAACTTTGCACAACTTCAAGAAGGTGACCTAGTATTCCTCTGCTTATAAGCCTTTTAACATCTCTGAAACATATTCTAACTTAAAGTATTAAATAAAAATATGAGGAATTGCTCCAGAAATTTAAGAATCCAATGACTTTTTATCCTTTAAAAGCATGGGTTATCTCATATGGAAGCTTGGAGAGCATATCAACACTCATGCTGTTTATTCAATATTCTTCCAGGGATAGTACTCTTACTCAGAACTCTTAAAAAAGTACTTGTGGAATACACAATTAGTATTTACCTTAGAAAATTGTACTTACCTTCGGACATTTGGAATTTCTTGCAGTTTCAATCATAAGATTTGAGCCCATCCATACAAAT